CTATCATGATATGTAGGGGTTCCTTGATGACACACTTGAGGGACCAATGAGATATGTAGGGGTTCCTTGGTGACAACTAAGAAACTGAGCTTGATTTTCAAGAGTTTCTTGATGAGTAAGTCATTCGGGCCATCAGTAAGTCTTTCGAGCATGATGCGTAAATCCTTTGGGTCATCTATAAGTCTTTCGAGCAAGATGATAAGTCCTTCGGGCCATCCATAAGACCTTCGGTGCATGATGTTTTCAAATGAGATTTTAGAAACTAAGCCTTCGGGGGTTTCTTGATTTGTAAGACCTTCGGGCCATCCATAAGACCTTCGGTGCAGGATGTTTTCAAATGAGATTTTAGAAACTAAGCCTTCAGGGGTTTCTTGATTTGTAAGTCCTTCGGGCCATCTATAAGACCTTCAGTGCAGGATGTTTTCAAATGAGATTGTAGAAACTAAGCCTTCGGGGGTTTCTTGATTTGTAAGTCCTTTGGGCCATCCATAAGACCTTCGGGCAGGATGTTTTCAAATCAGTTTTTAGAAACTAAGCCTCATTTTCAGGGGTTTATTGAGGATTATTTCCAAAGAGTTTTTCAAAAAAGGAAGCTAAGTCTAATTTTTAGGGGTTTCTTGACAACTAAGAAACTAAGCTTGATTTTCAAGGGTTTCTTGATGAGTAAGTCCTTCAAGCCATCAGTAAGTCTCTCGAGCATGATGTGTAAGTCCTTCGGGCCATTTATAAGTCTTTCGAGCAAGATGATAAGTCATTCAAGCCATCCATAAGACTTTCGGGCAGGGTGTTTTCAGCGTTCCCTTTTACGTAAAGCGTTATATTTCGAATCAAACGCCTCACTCGTGGGACGAACATTTCTAGTAGACGGATCATGAGATATTTTTCCTAAGAACAAATTTTGTCTCACTTGAGACAATATTTACTTTAAACAATCTTTGTCTCCCTTGAGACAGTTTCCCTTGAAACAAATTTTGTCTCCCTTGAGACAGTTTCCCTTGAAACATCAATCTTTGAATCTGTTTCCCTCGAAACAAGAAATTTTATCTCACTCAAGAGAGCTTCTCTTAAAACAGTTTTCTTATTTATTTTCATCCAGCTATTGAATATTTGACAAGAATTCCAAAGTTAGCAGAGGTTTCATTTCACAATTGAAGAAGAAGATTTGAGCAAAGAATTGATTCACGTCTTTATTTTTGAAAAAATGGATCTCAACAAAGATTTGAGAACCTTCAGTTCATTACCTTCTGGTACTTCAAATACAATTATTACTGACACATGATAATCTTTTACAGGTTGGAAGATCTTCAAAGAGAACCAATCAATATTTTCAGTAGAGAGTTTGTAATGAGAAGAACTCATCCAATGAGCGAGAAGAAGTTCGTAATGAGAAGAACTTGTTCAACCTTAGCTCGATTCATCACATATGGAGTTGAATCAGTAACACCTCACTCGAGGGATCAACATTAGAGAGTTCATAATGAGAAGAACTCATCCGATGAGGGAGAAGAAGTCCGTAATGAGAAGAACTTGTTCAACCTTGGCTCATCCATCACATACGGAGTTGGATCAGTATTATCAACATTGTTGTTCTCGCTCGATTCATCGCATATGGAGTTGAATCAGCAACACCTTACTTGAGGGATCAACACTTTTGAAAGAAAGATTACGATGAAAAAAAACATCGACTTGAAGAGCAAAGATTGAGTCAAAGATGACACTCTTTTATATTTGCTTTATTCCCGTTTCACAGTAATGAGCAAAGAGGGACAGCTGTGAGTACCATAATTAATTAAAATGAGCACAAACCAATGCCCCACGTGAAGCACAAACCCTACCACTATCCCATGTACTTGCACATCCTTTTTTTTATTTGCAAATACCCATGCTTTCACCATTTCCAACCTTGTTCCTGCACAACAATGCACAACACTCAGTAGCCCTATATCCCAAGTGCAGTTCGACTCCCCAACAGCCCATGCCTTCACGCCTTGTTGCTCCGACACGACTACCAATACCCCACTCACCTGCAAAAACAGAACACAAGGAAATGGGGACATGTTTTTTATTTGGTTGTAACTGGGTATTTAACCCAAACAAAGATAATGTAAACATGATTCGGAAAAATCCCACCAAAAATACACTGTAAACTTTATATTCAATCAATAACAGACTTCAAAGGATATCAATTTCGAATCTTTGCATGTTCGACTAGGATGAGTAGAGTTTCCTTTGATTTTCTTCAGGTATTGTAATACGGATATTTATCAAGAAAAAAACCACCATATATATGCATTTTTATTACTCTCGAATCTAACCTAGTGCCCATAAATAACAGAAAATAATATAAAAAATAGGATGAGTAGATCGAAAATTTACATGAGAAAGGGAGGATTTTCGAGTCGATTTTAGGGCTCCGACCACCGCGTGTGATGGCCGAAGCGATGGGTTTGCGACGGTGCTGGCTTCCGGCGAGGGTCCTCGCCCGAGGGGGGAAAAGGGAGAGTTGAGAGTGTTTAATTTTTTTAGGGGTTAGGGTTTAAAATGAAATGAGGTTAAAGTGTGTTATATAGGGTTAATTAATGGGTTATCTCGCTTTAGGTCCCTTAGTTCTTTTCGCGTTTTGCATTCCAATCCCAAGGGAGGGATCATTTATGTCATTTACCGTTTTTGTACATGTGTTATTACTTATTGGACTATTTGCTAATTAGGCCCCCTAAATTTAAGCGCATAGAATAGTCACCAATTAATCTTTTTATTTGCTTCAATTTTGGCTCATTTGTTTTCTGTCATTTTATTTTGATCACCATTTTTTTGTTCATTTTAGTTTAGCTACTGTTTTATTTATTTATTGCAGTTTGGTCACAATTTCTTTTTATTTTATACGGTTTGTGAATTGGGTTCTTGGTTTTGTATTATGTTAATTTAGTCCTTTGCTGAATGTTTTTTTTTCTTTCGAGATTAGCTACTTATATTTATGTTTTTCCATTTTAGTCCTATATCTATGGTTTTATTATGATTCTGATGCTTCTATTTTGTCATTTTCTTGTCTCATGCCATGATATTTGTTTATTAATGTTTAGGATACTAAGGTTACTATGCATTTATTTTTTGTCACCATCTAATGAATAGATTCATATGTATATTGTCTATTTGTACCATTAAAGTATGTTTTTATTTTTTAGAGATTTATTTTGCATGTATTATTATATATGATAATATTATATAAAAATTATTTTAATATTAAATTCTTAGAAAAAAATATTATATTCCTTTTATTTTAGTTGGAAAGAGAAATATTCGTCCTAAATTATTTTAGGGAGTATTTTCTCTTCAATTGGAAATATGATAATATTTTCTATTTTTTCTAAGAATTTTTTGTTCTATAAAATTGTATGGTTGAACTCGGAATAATGGAATCTTGATTTAAATATATATTCGAATTCTTAGATTTCTACTAATTAGAGACAATATATAATCAATAGGTACCAATTTTGGGCGTTGTGGGAGTACTTATCCTTCCCCACACGTAATCGACCCCCGAACCCATTTTATTATTAAAAAATGAATCCCTGGTTACACGTAGATCAGTAAATCTTTTAAATGACATTTTCCTAAAAATTCTTTTAAAATAATATTTTTGAATGTTCGACCTACGTAACTCAAAAGGTCGATGGTGACTCCGAAATATTTCTTTTACAAAATTATGTTTTCACAAAAATAAGTCGAGACGTCGCACCGCCGGAAATTAGTTACGACACCTAGCAAAAAGGGTGCTATATATATCTGTGATGAAAATAGTATGGCAGAGCTGTTTTTACGAGTAAAAGATAACAAGTTTGGATATTCTCTAAATCTTTTGGTGGTAGCCTCTCAGGATAGTTTGTCTTTGTTAGGGCGTAAGCGATTGAGAAATAAATGTGCGGCGCAAATGAAAAAACAAGGTTTTGGAAGAAAATATATTTTAAAAACGATAAATTAATATTTTATCTTTAGATTATTAAAAAATTAATATTTTAATTAAAACTTAGGGACTAAAATAAAAAATAAACTTTTTAAGTTGTCACCAATAAACTAACAACATTCAATGTCTCAATAGTTAAAACTTAATAAAATAATAATATTTGTAATCAAAATTTCTTTTTTTTTTTTATTAATATAGGGTTATTTCAAGTGAGAAAATATAAGAATGACTAGTGGGGGCCATGGTCACCCAAAATCTAAAAAATTATAATTAAGACTTTTAAAATTTAAAAAAATCAATTTGACCCTCTAAAATTTTAGAAATTCATATTGAATTAAAAAATTTTAATGTTCTTAATTAAATCCCTTTCCATAATATTTAAAAATTCTCATTAAACCTCTCAAATTTTAAATTTTTTAGTTAAACCCAATTTTTTTAGGAAAAAATATAAATTAAACCCTTAACAACTTTTAAAAAAATTTTAATTTGGACTTTTTTTTAAAGTTCTAAGTTGACCCTCCAAATTTTTTGTCTAGTTCTATCACTATTACAAGTAATAGTATATATTTAAGAGGTTATCAATTATTTAACAATGAATGTATAAATATTCTGTCATATAATTATTGATGCTTGAATTTAAAATCTCTAAAAATAATAATAATTTATTTAACGATTAAGATAATTTAATTCAACAAAAATTATTAAATTTGATGTGAAAAAGATAGAAATATAAAATATAAAAAATCATCTGATAATTTTCCAATGTGGGCCACAGAAGTAATAGGTGAGGTCTCAAAGCACCTAGCTTTTATAAATCCCAAACCGTCCTTCACTTCTGCATAATCTAAGTTATGAAGCCACGTGTCAAAAAACCCACAAATTCATCATCACATGTACGTCCACGTCACCATAAAAACCACCAAAGTTTAAAATGTAAAAAAAAAACAACAAAAAACGCACACACACACACAAATGAAACCTTATCCAATACGTTTTCAACTTTTAAAAATTTCCATCTGGATTTCAAAGGGTTCGATTTCAATCTGGATTTGGGCTTCTGTTGTGGGAAACAAAGGAAAGAAAGTTAAGCATGGCTGAAGTGTTGGGGAAGACGAATCTGTTTACAGCTAGTAACCATAGCCTGTGAAAGAATCAAGTAATTTCTAGGACAATTTCTGGGTTTTGTTTAAAAAAGAATACTTTTCACTCCTTGAAGGTGAAATCTCAGGCTTTGGGGAGTGATTTTAATGGACAAGGAGTGGTTTTTCTAGAGAAGAAAAGTGTGATTGATAGAAGGTTTCGTCAAGTTCCCCATTAAAGCACAGGTTGGTTTAAGTAGCTTTTTCTTTCTTCCAATTTTTAGATCTCTTTTTTCTTTGGTGAAAAAGCTGTGGGTATCTTATCATATTTTATCTGTTCCAGATGCAAACTGGCCTTATTGGTAAAACCCAGAAATGGTGGGAGAAGGGAGTTCAACCAAATATGAAAGAAGTGACATCTGTACAAGATTTGGTAGACTCTCTTTTGAATGCTGGGGATAAACTTGTTATAGTAGATTTCTTCTCCCCTGGCTGTGGTGGCTGCAAGGCTCTTTATCCCAAAGTATAAGAATATGCATTTGAAAGCTTATATATATTGTTTTTCATTGTTGTGTATATCCATGTATTCGTATTGATACCAGTGGATTTGCCAGATTTACCAATTGGCAGAGATGAACTCAGATGTGCAGTTCCTTAAAGTGAACTATGAGGAGCATAAATCCATGTGTTATAGCCTTAATATACATGTTTTTCCTTTCTTTCGGTTCTATAGAGGAGCTCAGGGTCGTTTATGTAGCTTTAGATGTACCAATGCCACGGTTAGTCCTGTTTGTATCCTTCACTCTAGCTGCAATTTTTTTGTTCTGTTTGCGTAATTTGTGAGATTGTTGGATAGATCGATTGCTCTGCTTATCGATTGCTCTGCGTTGGGATATAGTTGAAATGGGCATCCCTGAATATGACGATTCAAAATAAGATAAGAGGTATCCATTTACTCTCAACTCCCTTTGTGTGCCGAAAGAAAGATATCAGCTACTGTACTGAAAAAAATGGGTGGATGTTGTAGAACTCATGGAAGCTTCAAGAATTGCCCTTTGCAAGGACAGTTGACAATTGTTAAAAGTTTTAAAGTTTGACAACCAATTTTAGAAAATGTTTTTTTTCAAAGTTTGGTAAATATTTTTTTGAAAAATATTTTTTAAAGTTTGGTAAAATTTTGGTAGATGTTTGTTGAAAAAAGGAATGTGTAAATTCACTTTAATCATTGCACTTTAGGGTATTTTCAAAGATTAGTCCATAAGTTTTTACTATAAATATCCTTACCCATTTAGCTTCAAAATCATCTCAAAACATTTTTTTCTTCCTATACTAGAGAGCTTTCTTGTGAGTAGTGAATGTTTTGTAAACACCTGTAAATTTTCTCTCTTAATAAAAGATCTGCAGCAGCCCGGAGACGTAAGCACAATTGGCTGAACTCCGTTATCAATTTTCGGGTATTTTTTTTCTGTTTTTATTTCGCATTCTCACTAATCTGATTATAGGGAAATTACTTGTACTCGGTTTATTTTCCTAACAACTGGTATCAGAGCTTTTGGTTGTGAATTTTTTCAAATTTTCTGCGAGGTTACTATTGATTACTATTTACGTGAATAGTGAATTTCGTGAATAGTGAAATTCGATCGGCGATACGAGTTTGTCGACGGTGGTGTTCTAATACACGGTGATTCGCAAGAATTGTCAGAAACGATCCAAACGAAGCCAGATTCGAGTGGGAGCGATGGCTGCAGACGAAGGGAATGTGAAAATTGAAAAGTTCGATGGTGCGGACTTTGGTTTTTGGAAGATGCAGATTGAAGATTTTTTATACCAGAAAAATCTATATCAACCTCTCTCAGGAAAGCAACCAGAGGGCATGAAGGATGAAGATTGGGCTCTTCTCGACAGACAAGCCCTTGGAGTTATCCGACTGACGTTATCCCGCAATGTTGCTTTTAATATAACAAAGGAAAAGACCACGGCGGGTCTTATGGCGGCTCTCTCCAGTATGTACGAGAAGCCATCGGCCTCAAACAAAGTTCATTTGATGAGGCGATTATTCAATTTGCGGATGGCGGAAGGGGCATCGGTGGCACAACACCTAAATGAACTCAACACAATCACAACCCAGTTGAGTTCAGTGGAAATTGAGTTCGATGATGAAGTTCGAGCTTTAATTCTCTTATCATCTCTACCAGACAGTTGGAATGCTACTGTTACAGCAGTCAGCAGTTCGTCGGGAAACAGCAAATTAAAATTCGACGATGTTCGGGACCTGGTATTGAGTGAAGAAATTCGACGAAGAGAATCGGGTGAAGCATCAACCTCCTCAGCCTTGCACACCGAGTCTAGAGGGAGAACTTCAGAAAGAAATTCAAATCGTGGCAGATCAAAATCCAGAAGGGGCAAATCAAGAACAGGAAATAAAGATTTTACATGTTATAATTGCGGCAAGAAGGGTCACTTCAAAAGAGATTGCCGAGCACTGAAGAAAGATACCGGTGCACAGGAATCTGCCAACGTGACAGAGGAGACAGGTGATGCCATGATTCTAAGCGTCAACAGTCCGATTGAATCATGGATCTTGGATTCAGGGGCATCTTTCCACTCCACCCCATACCAAGAAATCATGGAGAACTATGTCAGTGGTGATTTTGGGAAGGTTCATCTTGCTGATGATGAAACCTTAAAGATCGTCGGAAAAGGAGACATCCGACTAAAGTTGCCAAACCAGACCACCTGGAAGCTGACAGGAGTGAGACATATTCCTGGCCTCAAAAGAAATCTGATTTCTGTTGGACAGCTTGATGGAGAAGGATATAACACAACCTTTTCAGGCTGTGAATGGAAGATTACCAAAGGAGCACTCGTCATTGCTCGTGGTAAGAAGACTGGTACTCTCTATGTAACCTCAAATTTAGAGAATATCATTGCAGTAGCAGATGCTGATGGAAAATCAAACCTATGGCACCAAAGGCTTGGCCATATGAGCGAGAAAGGAATGAAGATACTTCTGTCAAAAGGGAAGCTGCCGGATCTAAAGAATGTAGATGTCGGACTATGCGAGGATTGCATCTTTGGCAAACAAAAGAAAGTCAGTTTTGCAAAGATTGGTAAGACACCCAAGGCAGAAAGGTTAGAGTTGGTTCATACTGATGTATGGGGACCATCCCCAGTTCCATCTCTTGCGGGCTCACTATATTATGTCACCTTCATCGATGATTCAACAAGGAAGGTGTGTGTTTATTTTCTGAAGAAGAAATCAGAAGTCTTTGATACCTTCAGAAAATGGAAGGCCATGGTGGAAAATGAGACTGGTTTGAAAGTCAAGCGGTTGAGGTCTGACAATGGAGGAGAATACAGAGACAATAGATTCAGAGATTTCTGCGCAAACAATGGGATCAAGATGGAGACAACAGTTCCCATAACACCGCAGCAGAATGGCATAGCAGAGCGCATGAACAGAACTCTGAATGAACGTGCCAGAAGCATGAGGATACATGCCGGATTGCCCAAATTTCTATGGGCTGAAGCTATCAACACTGCAGCTTACTTGATCAACCGTGGGCCCTCAGTTCCTTTGGATGGCGGAATACCAGAGGAAGCTTGGAGCAAGAAAGAAATAAACCTTTCATACTTAAGAGTGTTTGGTTGTATTTCTTATGTACACATAAACTCTGCTTAAAGAAGTAAACTTGATGCCAAGTCCAACAAATGCGTCTTTGTTGGTTACGGTGGTGATGAGTTCGGTTACCGGTTTTGGGACTACGAAAATCGAAAGATCATCAGAAGCAGAGACGTCATTTTCAATGAAAATGTGATGTACAAAGATAGGTCAACCGCAGAATCAAGTAATACCGAAGCTGAAACAAAGGAATTTGCTGAGTTCGAGGAGATTTTTGGAAATGATGTTCAGATCAATCCTGAAGCAGTTCAAGAAGAACCAGGCACACCAGAACTGAGACGCTCCTCCAGAATTCCTAAACCAACCCAACGGTATTCTCATTCTTTACACTACTTGTTGCTGACTGACAATGGTGAACCAGAGTGCTATGATGAAGCAATGCAAGTGGAGGATTCAGTCAAGTGGGAGTCTTCCATGAAAGATGATATGGACTCGCTTATGTCAAATCAGACATGGGAATTAGCTGAATTACCACCAGGCAAGAAAGCGCTCCACAACAAGTGGATTTACAGGATCAAAGAAGAGCACGATGGGAGCAAACGCTACAAAGCAAGATTGGTTGTCAAAGGCTTTCAGCAAAAAGAAGGTATTGACTACAATGAAATTTTCTCTCCAGTCGTAAAATTGTCTACAATCAGACTGGTGTTGAAAATTGTAGCTGCAGAGAATTTACATCTTGAGCAGTTAGATGTAAAGACAGCTTTCCTTCATGGTGATTTGGAGGAAGAAATCTATATGAGGCAGCCAGAAGGCTTCATAGAGGCAGACAAGAAAAACCTGGTATGCAGGTTGAAGAAGAGCTTGTATGGTTTAAAACAAGCTCCTAGACAGTGGTACAAGAAGTTCGATAGCTTCATGAGTAGCAGTGGTTTTATTAGATGCCAAGCAGATCATTGTTGCTACATCAAGAGGTTCGACAACAGCTTCATTATTTTATTATTGTACGTTGATGACATGCTCGTTGCAGGCTCAGACATGCAAGAGATTATACACTTGAAAAATTGTCGAAGCAGTTTGCTATGAAGGATCTGGGCGCTGCAAAGCAGATTCTTGGGATGAGGATCAAGAGAGACACAAAGTCGGGGACTTTGATGTTATCACAGGCTGAGTACATCAACAAAGTACTCTCCAGGTTCAACATGCAAGATGCTAAACCAGTAAGTACACCTTTAGGTGTTCATTTCAGACTCTCCAAAGACCAATCACCAAAGACGGAGGAAGAACGTGCACACATGGTGAAGGTGCCGTATGCCTCAGCAATTGGAAGTCTGATGTATGCCATGGTTTGTACCAGACCAGATATTGCTCATGCAGTGGGAGCTGTTAGCAGGTACATGAATAATCCGGGCAAGGTACACTGGGAAGCAGTCAAATGGATCCTCAGATATCTTCGGGGTACCACAAACAAAGCACTTTGTTTCAAAGGTGGAGATATGATACTGACAGGCTATGTAGATGCTGACTTAGCCGAAAATGTCGACATCAGAAGGGGCACTACAGGGTATGTCTATACTCTAGGAGGAACTGCAGTGAGTTGGGTTTCTCAACTACAGAAGATAGTTGCTCTCTCCACAACTGAAGCAGAATATGTCGCTGTTACGGAAGCCAGCAAGGAGATGGTTTGGCTTCAAAGTTTCTTGGAAGAGTTAGGCAAGAAACAAGAAAACAATATCTTGTATTGCGACAGTCAAAGTGCTATCCATCTAGCAAAGAATCCGTCTTTTCATTCCAGGACAAAGCACATACAATTGAGATATCATTTTATCCGGTCTCTTCTGGAAGATGGGATTTTGAAACTTGAAAAGATTAGTGGAGCTCAAAATCCGGCAGACATGTTGACAAAGACGGTGACTACGGATAAACTGAAGTTGTGTTCAACTTCAGTTGGCATGCTAGAATAACAAGACCAGACATGCTGCTGCATTGATCGAGGTGTGAAGACATATTAAAATCAGTCTTCAAGTGGGAGATTGTTAAAAGTTTCAAAGTTTGGCAACCAACTTTGGAAAATGTTTTTTTTTCAAAGTTTGGTAAATG